CTGGCAGAGATAGGTCCATAGTTACTATTGAAGTTGAATAGGAAGTCATATACTGGCAATTTACTGTGACCTTGAAATTGACCTTTGACCTACCTTGAACTTAATTTTGATTGTACCATTTTAAGTTATATATATTTTTTGCGTATTTTGAAAATTCTTGTTGATTGCATTTTTATAGCTTGTCAAGCATAAGACTGGTGGCTGTGTCGCTTATTTTGTGTATGTGGGGGTCTATACGAATGCGCTTGCTCCAGCTGGTGGTACAATATTCGGAGGCGGTATCGCCTCTCTGATCCTCTAGTTTATTCTGTCTTTATTCAGTCCAGCACTGACCAGTATGATAGCATTTTTTACTGAGTCACTTTACTAATGAGCCAATTTATGTGCCAGTAGAAATTGTTTGAGTAGAAGGATTACTTTTAAATTTATAATGTGAAAATGAATCGAGAAAAATCCAGAGCAAGATACCCATGAAATTGATCCTGCTAATTTCTTTGACATTCATTTGATATTTGCAATATTTATAATGATGATCTTTCTATTCAGATTGGTCTGAAAATTGGTGTGAAACAGCGAGGGTGCAATGGTCTGTCATACACACTAGACTATGTAAAGGAAAGGGGAAAATTTGATGAGGTTGTCGAACAAGATGGTGAGTTACCATACAGTGTCAGATTTTCAGGTCAATTGACTCTGGGTTACATTTTTTTAATGAAGCAGTATATGTTATCTTAGTGAACATAAATTACTAAATATTGGTATGTTGTGAATTTTTAAAAAGTCACCACAATGCAGATTTACTTTTCAGTATTCTGCACTGCAAGGTTCTGGAATGATGGGAAGCTTATTGAAAAATATGTTACCTCTTGTATTTAGGTGTTACAGTTCTAATGGACAAAAAAGCTCAATTAACTCTTCTTGGCACAGAGATGGACTTCAAAGAGGACAAACTAAGCAGTGAATTTATTTTTAATAACCCAAACATAATTGGAGTTTGTGGCTGTGGAGAGAGCTTTAATGTGTTTACACCAGAAGAGAAGAAGAAATCTGGTTCTTAGGGATTATTGTGTGTCTTGATAACTTCTCTGTGATACATTTATGTTTATGAAAGGTTAGCATCATTAACAGACTTCTCAAAACAACAAGTCATGAAGGCACCCATCAAGTATCATTCTTAGCAAAGAATGTAGTGCTTTCCCTGAAGTCCAACCACACAAGAAATTTCATGGTGCTGGCTCTCATGTGGTTTTCTAATGATGATATATCCATACCAACGGCAGAGTTGGCATGTCAAACAATAATAAATTGATAACAATCAAGAAAACATCCATTTCAACATGACAACTCGGGTGTGATTCTTTGTTTAGTGACTTCAGGTGCAAGAAGCAGTTGAAGATTTTCCCCTTGGACTAGGTTTATGTCAGCAAACTGAAGACGTGGTTAAAATTAAGATATTTAAGTGGACTTAAGTATCAAATACCCACAAGTCATGTGGTTTTCAACCGAGTTATAGTTTGCAAACAGTTTTTCTAGAGAACATACAATGTACACTGTACTACTACATTTGGTAGAGAATGTGGTCGATTTACATTGATAAGTAACGAGTGTTTATTCATTTTAAGACTATAACTTTATTTATTGTTAAATAATGGATGCTTAAAATGGTTTTATTTATCTAAGATAAAATGTTTCAATTTTTTCCTTTGACAGTTGGTGCTTTCTGAAAATCTTTTTTCATAATGATGCCACAGTTGCTGTTTTAGTAGGTATGACTACTTATTATACTTTGTGCTCTTTATTCTTGTTCTTTGCATTTTCATGTTTTATCATGTACTTGTGAATAATCCTAGGGAAACTTTGTCACAAATTCTAACTAAGATTTTCTTAATATGAAAGAAGTAAATTTTTTTGTGAAGGGTTATTTTCTTGGACCTTCATAACAGTATAATTTCCTTTTTTGAAATGTTATTTTAAGGTAAGCAGAAGTACATGTAACGGTTGAAGAGCAATAGGGCAAAAACCAGACATTGTCCTTCATAAAAGTTTTAAGTTTAAATGAAAATTGACTCAATGTATTCTTGTTTGATATTTATTAAGTCCCAGGTAAATTAATTATTTATGACAGATTTCTGCATATTTTGAGATAAACAAGTGCATGACTCTGCTTTGAGAAAAATGGTTGCAAAAAAAAAAAAGGAGATTAATGGGAAAATGATCGATGCTGCGCAGGACTCGCACGTTCGTATGTTCATGGCCGGAGATGGTAGGTGAGAATAAGCATTTCCATGCTTTCATACACAACACACACATCTTTGCTCTTTTAATTTAAACAATAAAGTTATTTATTACTGCATTATAATCAGTCTATTGCACAAATACAAGGGTACCGTAAGGTATAAAGACTGGAGTCTTGGGCATTTACCCCCAGTTAACCTCAACACAGCATTTCATCGTTTTGGCGGGGTCAGCACACCAACAGGTCAGCACTTGACCATTGGCTCCGGCCTGTACCCCCACATGCACGCCACAGTTGGGATCCTTTTGGCATTGGAAAAATCGCTTTGCTGGAAGATCAAATGCTAGAAAAATTACTTCCATCTCTGTAAAATAATCATTCACCTGCATCTTGGGGTCGCTAGGAATTGCCCCGATAGTGATAAACTGATCACAGTTACATGTATGCTCTTTAAAATGAAAGTAACATAATGCAAAAAGAAAAGTTTGAAGATCGAAAATAAGATCACATCACAAAATATATAGCCAAGAGGGGGAGTTCATGTCATAAGTTGTAGTGAATGTAGTAAATCAAATTTTTACCTCTTCCCGCTGGAGAACCTGACGACATCGCAGATGCCAATATGAAAACCAGAACAACGAGGACTATTCTTGTCATGGTTGATTATTGAAAATGATCTGGAACGCGAAATCCTTATATATATATACATACATACATATCTAGTTCATGGTTCGTTAAAAAATGCTTTCAGCCTTCACTGCTTGAAAATTTATGCTTCAGGATTTTAACGGCATTTTTGTGCATACCTTTGCACAACAAAAACAATGTCCATATGTAGTGCATACGGCGTGCTGTAAACGCAGTGCAAGCGCAAGTAAAAATAATACGGTTTGAGTCCATCATACCGACCTAAATTAAGTTGCTGAAATACATTCTACGGCTTCAAAAGTATTGACATATAGCTAATTTCAGTATTGTGAAACTTAATGGATTATAACAAGGCGTGAAGACTTTCAAAGTGAACAGTTACAGTGGTTTGTGCTTGCACACAATTGCTAAACTTATTTTTCAATGAGTTCATTTTCTAAGAATCCCAATAAGTACAGTTTTGTGCAGTGCGTTTTCTGTTTATATATATATATGTATGCTCTTTAAAATGAAAGTAACATAATGCAAAAAGAAAAGTTTGAAGATCGAAAATAAAATCATTTACGGTTCGTTTAAGATCACATCACAAAATATATAGCCAAGAGGGGGAGTTCATGTCATAAGTTGTAGTGAATGTAGTAAATCAAATTTTTACCTCTTCCCGCTGGAGAACCTGACGACATCGCAGATGCCAATATATTTACAGATGTAAACTCATCGATCTGTACCTTGATTGTTAGTAAAGATTCTTTGTAATCAGAAAAATTTTAATGCAGCGCAACTAATTTCCAATTTAATCTTTTACGTAACGTACATAAAAAAATTGAACACAGCAGTTTATAATTATTTCTTCGTAGAATTCTCTTTCATTTCCACTTACCTTAATGTAAAGTATAGATTTTTGCGAGTTGTCACTGACTGTATCTGGCGTCTTGGAGAGGTACGGGACCAACACGGGCACCTTGTATATATATGTACTTGTGTAATGGCCCAGGACATAGTTATGTGCATCTACTTGCTTAATTAAAGGATAAATATTTCCTATTATTTTGGAATTACAGCCTGGGAACGAAAAGGGCATTTGTTTGTCATTGTTTTTTAAATCGCAAGTAAATTGACTATGTCCAGTGGGAGGAAATGAGTTTTGCGATACTTGACATTTGTGGAGGGCGATACGTCCTGGTAACCACGTCATTTGGTTGTCACTATCAAAGGATGTATGTCCTGTTAGTTTGAAATTTCATTCTGGGAACGAAAAAGGTACTTGTTTGTCACGATTTTTAAATCGCCAATAAACTATGTCCGATGAGAGGAAATTGGTTTTCTGACAGTTGTAGAAGGCGGTAGGAGGCAATTTTCAAGAATTGATAGACTTATAATTATTGAGTCTTAAAATTAAGTTAAAATTACCATTGGTCAATTAACAACTGGCATTTATTGGGGTTGTTATGGGTGATGTTCCATTGTACAATTGTTTGCGTATATATATATATGTGCAAGGAATCAGTACCCATTAAACTTGTTTACCCTCATATCGCCAGTGCTAAACATCAATGTTCATGAACATCCTTCCTCGCGCTACATTATTTTATGGATGTGATGTGTCATCTCAAATGGTCAAACTCGTAAATTAGTTTGCGCTTGAGTCCCAGAAAGAAATGTTGCATTGATGTCTGCAGTGAAAAATCCTTGAGCTTGTATCTTTAAATCACAAGTAATATAATTTCTTGAACATCCTGAGAGGTAGACAGCAGGCACGAATATTGAAGTCACCTTGATTGAGGAATCAAAACAACGTCGGTATGTCCAAGCCCTGACTTATAATTAGCAAAAAAGTGGACGTGCAAAACGCACTAAAAACGAAAAGATTGGTTAAATACCGAACAGAAACTACTATAAAATCTCTGTTACATGTAACACAGCGCTGACCTCAAAATGTTTTGAATAGTTAATGGCTGAATTGGAATCTTCATAAATAACACGTCCTTTGAGATGTTCCATGAGGTCATTATCCTCTCATAAGATTTTCAAGCCGTCAGCGATCATCAACTAAATCTTTTATCGTTCTCAATCTTTCTACCAGTAGATCTTTCTTAGCTTTTAGAAAGGTAGATATACTGAAAAGTAGGTAAGCTGTCACCTTAGAATGAAAGACGGACAGGGACACGTGACGAACCGTTCCCAATGACATTTGCAGATCTTTGCTTCAGTGAATCAAAAATTAAATAAACGATTAAATCAATAATGATATTTGGCCATTATAAACAAAAGTGAAAATTCACAGACAGCAATTTAAAACATTATGTTAGGATCATATCGTATCTAATCTACTTTTGAATAGTGGGTTGTCGATATAAAGTACGTCATACATGTAGAAAGCTTTAAAAAGGTGCATGTTTTAGACAGGTATTTTGCTTTTCTGAACTACACTAAGTGCAGTAAGGCTTGCAGCTGGTAATTGTTTTTCTGCCGTCAGCATGAAGTTGATCGTTTTTGAAATGATCATTATATATGACCGTCAGCTATGACAATGCAGAACTAATTGCTTGGATTGTGCCTTAAAATACCAGCATTGCAGATTGGATTGTATCATTAACCAGAAGACAGAGGAAACGTTTGCTTAATTTACAGCCATGGAAATGTCTATGATCTACAATGACATGTATTGAATTCAATCTTGTAGAATTCTGTTTGCACGAAACAACAAGAAGTGAATATAGTTCCAGTTTCTGGTTTGAGATATCATAACGGGCCGATGTCACAAAAGCCAAAGTTAGCTGTAAACTGATTTCGTTATGATTGAGACAGAGTCATTTAACGACCGTTATGTGCGATCGATACGGACGACGCGTTCGTTCCAAGAGAATGGTTGATGGGTTGGCCGATAGCAGCACTCACTTCACTAGTTTATAATTTGGGTTACATGCAGATCATGCTCCTTCAAAATCGACGAACTGTAAAAACCCAGGTGCTTGACAAAGTGCTCTCTCTGTAAGGCTTTGTTTAAATAATGATGTTATTATGAAGCAACCCACTGACGTAACAGAACGTGTTTCCCTTTTCTGAAAGCCATTAATGGGCGTCAAACATGTCTTGCACTGTTTTCTCTAGTATTCCTGCATGCATGCATTCATCAAAATTCAACATCAAAATTGAACAGTAAATTCAGGCTCTACACGAACTTGTCAGAGAGGAAAGACGAAAGAATTTCTGAAAAGACCAGACTAGGTGCGATTATTTAAGATCCTTTGGTAACTGCATGGCTTTTGTTATTATACACGCCAAGGTGAGACGAAAGGGCTTTTTAAAGGCCAGACAATGTTTGAAAAAAGCTTAGTTTATTGCATGGAAAACAAATGGGATTCAGCTTGAAGCAAAGGGTAGGCGAGTCAAACTGTAAATTCTGAAAAATTAATTCAGCGTTTCCCCAATATTAATAATCTTTCGGCAGTATCTTTTGAATCATATTTTTTATCAATAATTCATATACACACCTCAGTTTTTATTTATTTTTATTTCATTTATTTATTTTTATTTATTTTTGTATATGCACCTGTGCATTCAAACATTAAAAAGCAATGACCATATATACAATCACGCCTCACTGTCTCATTTATTATCAAATGTTACTTGATTTTATTAAATTTTCAGTAAACCTTAAAGACAGATTTGTCTTAACATCAAAAACGCGGGAATCCTCTGTTGAGCAGTCCATAATGATATGGTATACGATTGGATAATGAAAAAAAAGCTATATATTTTGCCACTTCGCCTACTTCAGATGCCTCTAGTTCCGTGAAGTTACTCCATAGCACTGAAGAAAAGACAACAGTAAAGAAAATAAGATTTTATTGTTGAATATTTGGCAGAAATACATTGAAATTGCTTTCAGAAACAAACAAGAAAGAATCGAGGTCACTACATGGTATTTGAGTAAGTGCGACATTACATTTTTCGTGAGAGTTCAGCAATTAGAAATATGTTGTATTGTATCATATAACATTAATGATATCACAGCTGTGTTAGGTCGTGGTCGAATGATAGATTGTGTTTTAAAAGTATTTTGAAACTAACTTGGGCATACTGAAAAATAATGAAGTTTTTTTCTATATTTGTCTTTTCGCTTTTATCTTCATTCTCTGAGAAAATCGAGTCGATTGAAAGGTTTAGCTTCATTAACTTTGCGATATATGTGAGTAACTCTAGTATCGTTGGACTGGATGTAGCCCTAATCGGGCAAGCCATAGAAAGAATGATGAAATGGAGAACCTCTTAGGCATATTGTGCTGTAATGAAATGGAGAACCACTTATGCATATTGTGCTGTAATACGTGTAGGCCTATTATGTCAGTGTGAAGAGAAAGACAGAGAGAGAGACTTAGAGATTATTTCAAGAATTGCAATTTACTTGATACTTGTAAAACAGACCTAAATTGTGTCTGGTAGAGAAAAATGAGAATGGTAGAGCAGTAGGTCAGCTAAACCGTTCTTGTTGGTCTGTTATACATGTATTTATATAAGTCTATGTAATGATAGAGATTTTGAGCACAATTCCGCAGTAAATGAATACTATGTAATTAGTTGCTTTTTAATGTTCAAACAAATATTACTATAGTATAATTTTAACACCATTCATCTTTCCCCTAGATGTTATGTGAATTAAAGATCATAAATACTGAGCATTGTTATGGCCGAAAGACTGGATTTTCAATGAATTTATGATACCAGTTCAGGCGTTTGAGGAAAGGTACCACTTAATATTTGCTTCCAATATCTGTTGAAAAACATTGTTATTTCAACGATTAAACACAACTACACCACAAAAACACACCAAAGCAAAACACTTGTGACATCGAATAAGGCTACGCTATAAACCACAGATATGGACCCGTTTATGACATTTGATTGATGACCAAGACTTACTAACTATATTGAAATAACAGAGAACATCTATCAAACCCAAGAAATGTAATTTAAAAGGAAAAAAATAAAGGTTATTGGAAATGTGCTGTGATTAGAACTAGTGGCGTAGTCATCGCCTTCAAGGTATGTACCGTCAGCTGGATTATGCACATCTATGGAATAATGCTACAGAGAATAATTTTTAGAAAGCAAACTAGTAATATGTTGTAATAGTAACTTGAAATGAAAACTGGTAGGCATTATATTTGAGGTTACCAACGAAGTAATTTATTTATGTAAAATGGCAGCACTTTAAATCAGAATTTTACGGCCAGTGCCTGGACATAGATAAAGCCTACACACCGCCGAGAGAGTAGTGATCTCGGGCTTGTGTTCTCAGTACAATGGACTCTATTCCATTTACTCCTGTATTTCTTTTGCTTCTGTCGTAAATTCTGCTTAATAAATATTATTATTCTTAGCTTGTCTCATGTTGCTTCCAGTTCCCAGTTTTTTATTTGTTAAAACCCTTGGCATGTAACATACTTTTTTTAACTTTTTTTAATCTATTTCTACAAAAGAGTTGAGTTTGCAACATAATTAATTCTTGCATACGTGTGATTTATTTTGATAAACTAGCATTGATATCGGATTCTTCATACCAATGTTATCATATTCGCTAATTTTGGGATTTTATCTGCAGCTGTTACGGTGTTATCCATCGAACCAATTGCTACATGCATCTTCTGCCAATTGGGATTATTGAGGTGTAGTCGAAAAAGGCTTCCCACCAAAACCCAATATAGAGGTGCAAATAATGTGGCAAGCACGCTCTTTAAATATTTAATTAGTACCTGGATTAGGAACTTTATTTGATTATTTAAGGGTCTTGCTTGAAGAAGATTGCATCAAAGTCTTACTGTCCTAGAACCATGGAGAATGAAAAATAATTCATCGTCTAACGCCATTAAAGGAACATACTTCACTGTCATAAATGGAAAACTTTCCGCTCACTCATCTTGAAAATTCGATCAGCACTGGTTGTTCTTTATTATATTTCCTGTCAGTATAACGTTGTAAAAAACATGATAATCTTCTGTATAGAGCGATTAATTTTTAATCATTTTAAATTTTTTGTGCAATTTTAGCTTGTTTGTCACTGAATTTTATCAAAATTAAAAAATTACAACATGCTGACATTAAAAGAAGCATTAAATGAACTAATTATTATTAGTGGTGCGAAGATTAAATATCAAATATAAATGTCAAATATGTCGAAATGCACATGAAATCACTACATAATATGTTTCAGTCCACAACTGAAAACCCTGTTACCTAAAGTTTAGGTAACAGGGTTTTCAGTTCGTAGAGGTAGAGGAAAGGTTTGGCCAAATCACAAACAATCGATAGTCTTTGTTGCCTTCTTTATTGTTATGGATGGGACTATGAAAGTTTGTGGTACACTAGGATAGAGGAGACATAAAGGGCACTTGCTCCTTCATTGTTTGCGACGTGCGTCTCTTTTGCGAACTCCTTGCGACGGGAGCAAGTTACGCTTGCAACCTCGCTGTTCGTAGATTATTCGTAGAATCTTTTGGATAGTTCCAATATCCTCCGTACGTGCTTACGGGCTGTCTGCGAACTCGAAATCTCGTAAGGACTTGCGTGGCTCGTGAGATACTACGCAATATTTGGACGCAAACAGCCCGTAAGAGGGAAGTTTAAATGCTTGTAAAGACATCTTCTCGTCATGTTTAATTTACCATGGCTGAATCACTACAACATCCATATTGGAACACGATAAAAAATGGTCTCCTAGAATATACGTTACTGGAACATACGTTACATTTGGTAACGTAGGCCTAAGTTTCCGATTAGTCTTTTTACATAATGACAGACCACGATAAAAATAACATGTAGATGTAAAATTGATACGGCCGTGAATTTTTGTTCTAAACACATATCCGTTTGAAAACTTCGAATTAATGCAATTTTATTTTTTGAGACTTCAAATGCACCTCTTTACTGGGTTTTGGGCGTTTCTGGTACATCAACTGGCAAAAATGTTACCTTTGTACAATACTAACCTTACCTGTTATCGATATGTTGATCACCATTGCCCCTTAATATATGCCAGTCATGATAGATTGATACGTAATACCCGCTAACAAAGTGAAGGGAAGAACGCAAATTAGGTCACATAATGATATATTTCAGGGTAAATAATCTTAACGATGCAAATGCTGCAAATTTTCAAATATGAACTTGAGAACATGTCAAGGTCAATCTCAAGGCAAGTTTAGAATTTTACGAACATTACTTTTTAGTGAACTTAAATTGTTTTTTTGCTTGGGCATGTGGACATGATTGCTTGGGTATGTATTGTCTGTTATGCATGTGTAAATACAACAATTAAACCCAAAATTAGGCAGGTAAGGGTGCCTCCATTTGACTATCAGCATATAAACAAGGTTGATTTGGGCTTGGTCAATGTTTATTCTACTTTGGTGGCACAATAAACATTCCTAAAAGATACAGATGTACACATGTAATGGCATAAGCTAAAAATATGCATTTTGGCGTATGTTTTTGCCATATATCTATCATTCGATTTCGATCCCCGTATGTTGCCTCAAAAACGTGCCGCTACCCACTTCCTCTTATGTCAATTACACCTAACTTATAGTTAACTTGTAGCTAATTAACTTGATTCGCTGATTTATAACGTACCAATCATCTTGAACTGTCGTATTTCAAGTGATCAGGCTGTGCCGAAACTTTCCCCCATGCACTAGGATTTTATATCTTGTACAATTCGCACAAGATGCTTTGCATTGATACTTTGCGACATCCCAGGGGCCTATTATTACCATGTTAAAACTGAGGAGCAACAAAGTACAGCAACGTGCGTCCATTTGTACCCCACTTATGGGCGAACAGCCCACTGTGTCTTTATGCTGTGTAAGCTGCGTAATTCTAAACGCTCCTTATGCTGTGTAGATCCCTGAGGGATGTCGTATATTGGGGGTCTGACAGGGGGTTGGCCTGGATTTCTACAACACAGTTGTATTTAGGCTTAAGCGGTTCCCCTGGTCCTACTGGCACCGAGGGTTCACTAGCATAAGGTTTAGTGGTCCCAAGTTGCGCTTGGCAGACTAATTCAACTTGATTATTATCACCACTCTTTGTCTTCATTTCGATGTTTTGCCTTGGATTTCTTGTTCCTTCCAAATTACCGTTTCTTTCGGCTTTAAATTTTGGGGAATGAGACCCTTCAACTGAGGAGCAGTATTGGGAATCCACGGATCTCTTAAACTTATACGTCTGGTATTTAGAATGGTTCTTTCTTCCTCTTGAACTGGAACTTCTAGTGCAACATGGCCGCATAAAGGTATTACGGAATGCCTGCCTGAACTTGAGCGACATAATACTGTAGACGATCGGGTTGATAGTTGAGCTGCCGTAGTACAAGACTCCGGAAATGTACCATGTGTACGTGTCTATTTCTAGCAGTTGCGGGGTCCAATCGTCCTCCTCGATGTAGATGGCCATCAGGCGTTGCACGTGAAACGGCGCCCAGCACACGAAAAAAGCCACGACAACTGTAACTAAAAGTAAAGGAAATACATTTAATTTGAAGCATAACGAATAAGATTTATGTACAGTATCCTTAAATTAAAGTTCAGAGATTAACGTACTATAAATATATTGCAGATGTCTGTTTCAGAGAAAACGAGTAAGACCACACTTTAACTCTCATTCTAGTATTTTATTTATTTATTTTCATTAATTAATTAATTTATTCATTTATTTTTGGCAGGAGGAAGGAAAAATAACTTTAATATCACTTTCTCACATTGAACTTCATTTTAGAGTAGAATTTATGGAAAGACTATTTTTTTTTACTTTTAGATAAAAAGATATATTAATGAATATACATACAAATGAGTGAAGTTTGGATAAACAGTTCTAAAACATTCACACTGGCAATCAGAATGATATTGTTGAGGCACCAGAGAAATGAACACTCTGAACCTCAGTAACCAACATTATATTTTTTTTGTTTTCTAAAAAAAAGTCGATCAATAAACATTTCCTTACACATGCAAAATTATACATTCACTTACATTATCTTCACTCTTTTCTGTCACATGTTAAAAATCAAGAATCTTGAAGTAAATCTAAAGCGAAATATTAAATTGATGATAATTATATATGCCACGATCGAGATTAAAACCATGGCAGACTGGAAAGCCGCCTAGAAGCGAGATGACAACTGGGATTTCACCTGGTCGAGATTGCAATTGATATCCTGCTTAGACTTGCCTAGACGGAATTCAAATTCAATAACTGTCTAACGCCAAGTGTGAGATTGTTCAAAATAGCAGCTATTGTGGATATAAGTGCACAGAACTGCTATATCATAAACTACATTGTATGTATCACGTCACCTCTACCAGTGTTCGGAGTCAGTGCCCCCAATGTGCTGCATATCTGACCTTGTTATTACTTGCTCCCTCTGCGATATTTCTAATCACATCAAGATGCAATGGCCATCAGTTATCATTATCTGTCACAACAAATACTTCCAGTTTTACGTTTTACAATTTCACTTTCTTTTTTCTTCTTCAGCCTTTTTTTAATGGCATATGCGTGTAACTGAAACGTGCCGTTATGAGGGGGGCGGGCGGTGATATTAAAATGCAAGGCCAATCTCATTTTTCTGTTTAGAAAGGTCACATTCGCTTTCATCTAAGTACTTGCTATTTCTAATAATCCCTCGACATTTAAGGGGAGAGAGGGCAGGACAAATTCAACGTTCATGTAGATTATGATGAAAAAGTAAGTAGTAATTTTGATTTCTGTATTACACATCCGTTTTCTAGGGCAATTTTGAGTAGATAATTAGATTTGATTAGAAATTTGACTTGGAAAATGACAGACGGAGTTCTTGAATATCAGGTAAAGTATAAAATATACGATTTTTCTTGTCGATTTGCAAAAACAGTCGCATTTATATTGTCAAGTGAATTTTGATCTTTCGAACGCTGACTGCTTATAAAGACATCGATAGTGACCAATACTGTGGATAAAAGGAAAGACACTGGACTCAAATGATTATTTTGATGGGTAACGACTGACGCCATAACTATGCATAAAGAAGTCGTTACAAGACTTAAATGGTATCCTTTAACCTTTATTTTATACCCCAAAGTGGGATAAAACAGTCTACATACAATCGAAGTGGGAAAATTAAGTTCAACAACCCAATCAAATAAAAAGTGAACTTAAGCTAACCAATTTCTTACATCCTGTTTAAAGGTCTTTGTCTTATTACCTGGGACCTTTGGGTATGCTACAACACAGACACCCCTATACAATATCTAAACACCATTTTTAGCAATACTTTCCAGACGCTTCAGAGAAAAGGGCGGTATCATAAGATATTTTATTTTATCATTCATTAGACAGAATGTTCTATTCGAAATACCTATCTGCCTCACTTCACTTTCCCTTCATTCATTTACCATGAATAATAAAACATGATTGGTGTCCATTGCAGATTTGCTGGGAAGAAGGGCTCATAGAGTCAATTAGTTCCGATAAGATCAGAAAAGTGCGTGGCTAAAGGGTTCTTACAAGGTGTTTTCGCTAATATCTTTCTTTTGTCTTTTTAGATTACCTTAATTAATATCCCATAGGCCTATTACATCTTCTGAAATAATACAATAAAGGCTCTTTCTCGAAACTTTTTACGCAGAGTGAGGATGCAAGATGTTTGTAACTGCAATCATCTTTGGGAAAGTTAATAAGAAAGCTGTCATTATCTAGAGCGTATATCTATAGCTTATTTTTGAGTTTTGATCACGATACAGTGATAAACAGGATGTTAAAGAATATTTGTGAAAACGCCATAAAAATGTGTAGACTGGAATATTAATGATAGAAATAAATGCTCTTCTAATAATTTTTTATCGATAATGGATTTAGATTTTGATATTAAGACCAAATCATTTATAAAGCTCGGGTGGCATGCAAACATCACTTTTACTTAAAGAAAATCGATTTTTACGACGATATAAATCTTCAATGCAATTGATTTCCTCTAGATATGATACCCATACCGATTCGCATCTGACAGACTACATGTACTCGAATCTTAAGAAGGAAATCACATAACATGCTGTTTAAGGACTTCCCTTTATCCATCTTAGAACATAAGAAACCTAGCATTTGAACTGTTAAAAAACTCTTTTCAGAGAACGCAGTTCAGAGGAAAACAACAACAGGGGGTAACGAATTGGACCTATTCTGGTGTAAGAAAATGAAATGCACCATGAAAAGTATCATTAGATAATACACAGACAAAGAAGAGACAAACGACGAAGAAAGTGACCTTTAGTCCTTCACCTTCCAGTTCCCGAACGATCACCTCATGCTTGTCAGTGGTGGAAATTAAACTCATCTCAGTCGTCAACGTGATTTATACGGGACTAATAAGAATTATCTGAAAGCATAAAATGGAGAGGATGTAAAGATGGCCCAAGATATCGTTTTTGGCTTGTCATTTCTGGACTTTATCGATGGAGCAGATTCTGTATCCGTGCTTTCCTAGGGCTTGTTTCCTGTGTACATGCATCCTGAGGGTGTTATAATGGTATTTTATCAGCGGTCACTTCAAAATAATTTCATTATCACATTTCAAAGTGCAGCGTTTAATTAACTACAGTTCTTTTCAATGTTTGCAACTCCCTTAACCTTTTTGAAAGTTTCACAGCTCAGCTCTCCAAGATTCTGAAGTTACATGTATGAATGATGGCATATCAGTGTAATCAATCATGTTCAGTGGAGTATAACGCAGGAGTAAACACGCAAATCTACTAAGGTTACAAACATGCACTACCAAAATAGACCACTCAGTTGGTCAAGTGCCAGGAGTATCCCATTAGCCTTTCTCAGAAACGGCGCTTTGCTCAAAATTCCTTGAAATTACATAAATCCACTTCCTGCTCAGTGTAGCAAATGTCATTATGAATTGCTAACCACTATCAGATTTTATGCATTGGCATTGCCCACAACAAGTTGCAAGACTAGCTTCATATTTCTCTACGCCTATAAAATCAATCGAAAAAGAAATTTCTGAATCGCACGCAGTCAATCAAGTATTATCTGTGATCTCCAGTATGACTTGACAGTTGAACTGTATACACTCTCAAAGAGTACTGTGAGAATGTAATTTACCACTTGGCTTAGCTGATAGATGCTGTGCAGATACATGAACCAAATTTTCATGTAAAACGATAGAGTAATAAAGTATTTTTAAATAGCTTTTTAATAGCATATTAATGTATGTATGTTATAAATATCTCTGTTCAAAATTATGCAGCATACCTGTATAGAATATCTTAAACTTTGGCGGAGACTGGGACAGGTTACTTTCAGAAAGACGGGTTCAAATAAGCAGTTGGTGTAGCCCCCTCCAAAAAATAATTTACAAGAAGCTAGTCAGAAAAACTTGGGGAGAAGACTGAAAGTGTGCGAAATAAATTTCAAATGTACATGGGCAGACGCAGTGCAAGCTAAGAAGTGATGTTGGCAGAAAAGATGTGCTTCGCTCCACCAAGTGAAGATATTACATTAAGACCGGAACATCAGTAGCCCGAGGATTACATAGTAACATAATACTGTGAGGCATAGTTATAAAAACCATTGCTTTTCACCACCTTAAGGAATGTATTTGAACTTTTGCCCGAATTCTCTGACAGTTTAAAGGAAGGCTCTTATATTTTATATGCAATTAATAGTGAACGTTGTCAGTACTGAGAAATGTTCATGGTTGATAAAGAACAACGCAGCTGATTTGCTCTGCTAGCCATATCACCTTTTTTACGGAGTTGACATTCAATATAGGATATTTCAGTTTGAATGACTTGTCTAGGAAAATGCATATTGTTTCTAAAAGCATATATCTCTTATGAGGAATGTGAATAGAAGGATGTGCTGTCAGGTATGTTTGTTAAGATCACCCCACTTCATGTACCCGGTACCTTGTCGGTAGCACCATTGCATTGCGTAATATGTGAAGTTTTATTGGGTTTTTCACTTTGGGCTGGTCGTCGTACATGTATGACTATGAAAAGCATGTTTCACCAGATAATGCCTTCACATTTCGGCAATTCCTGCACAGAAAACTGTATGCACAAGAAGTCAGTTTTATGGGGTTTGACCTGAGCATATCAGTGTGGCATAACATTGTTGCTCTGCGCCAGAATGTTCCAAAACATATAGTCATACCCCCCCCCCCCCCCCCCCCAAAAAAAAAAAATGCAAGAAATCAAAGAAAAATGTTTTGGAAAACTTAACTCTGCATAACAATTGATCGCAGGAAATAACATTTCATGGTCTCACTATGAAGCTTACAGGAGTGGCAACTCGATTGCAACTGTAAATGCATATCCATCTACTTATAGTCAAGTAGTTGAGAGTCGTAGGAAATAACACTGCAGGGTTTCACCATGGGGCTGTTATGGGTGTGTCAGTTCGAGTAAAAATGCAACACAGATATTTTAACTACATGTGCTGGTAGTCAAACAGGTCAGGTAATTACCAAGCTAAGCGTGATTTATTTTTTCCTATCCATAAAACTGGTATGTGCAATAACTTACGCCCAAACACGTGTATCAATTACGAAAGGTTGACAATATATATATATATATATATATATATATATATATATATATAAACGATTTTTTGTTAAATGGCACTTGCACGTTAATAGCTACAGACAGTACGGACAATAATTTATAGCACATTGAACAACAAAATCCACTATATATATATATATATATATATTGTTACTGAATCGGAATATTGTGGCCTACATGTACTTTGAATACTACCGTTCAGATACCTTGATATGGCTGTGAGAACGATAGCCCTCGTGGAATAAATCGATAGAAAGTTACAATTCCAGATTAACCGTAAAACGATAAACGCCATATCTGGATTCTAAATCAAGCACAATTAAAACCTAAGACAAGCCTACACAGAGAATTGCATGGCAAACGTGGGACTGTAATATATATATATATAACGTACATTCATATGGGAAACAGAAACATATGATGATCATGTTCGGTCAAACCCAGCTTCTATTAGAATAAAACCAACGTGAAATCGATATGAATGACATATCTGTTATCTTAACTGCAAGTAATCGTTGCTGGTAAAAGTTGTTCAGGCTGAGTGATGACCATTCACGGTGGATCCAGGCTTTTGCTGAATGAATATTTGGATTTTCAGAGATATTAATGGGAGAGGACACGCGTTCCTTTGCTCCACTGGGAATATGAAGCTCGCCTTAACGAGCACATACATTAATACATTCAAAGTCAAACTGCATTCGTGCAAGTAGCACACCAAGATACAGCAGAAATTAATAGCTTAGTATGGATAATTGACCCTTCATGGTCGAGCTAATGAGGCGACAAACGTTGTAGGTAGGTATACAGGCCGTGCAGAGTACACATAATCCGGCCTGTCAAGCTTGTAAACACGCAAGTTAGATAGCCAAGAAAACTAACAAATTTAATACATCACGTTAAAAATTTTTAAAAAAGAAACATCCCCAACACAGCAGTTTAATTTTTCAAAAAGAAAAAAAAGCACCTACATTTCAACATACAATATTATTTGATGTTAAACCGTACTTCATGACATTGCTAATGATATACGACGGATTTGAATCGGTGGCTTTCATAACATCTGTATGGTATTCAGTGCAGTGATGCTGGTCCAAAAGTGCCATGTCAAAATTCAGTGTTTTCCTTCGCCCAGCCTAATGTAGCCTCTATCCAGCTGATTATTACATTTTACAGCATAATCGGACAACATACCTTATCATTACGGCTATACAGGCATATGTTAAAAAGTTGTTTTTGTAATTTTTCTTTTAATCCTGACCGTAGGTAAAGTATCCTGATTGATTTATAAAGCCACAGCAGACCTATCTAGTTAAGAAAAGTAATGTGGCCATAGCCGCAGTGAGTGCTAATAAGATGACCAAGTTTTGTAAAGGCTTCCTGATAAAGATCAAGACAAGTACTGATAGAAGAATAAATCGGAATTTTTCTTTAATCAATAAGTAATATTGAAAATATTTATTATTATTATTATTATTATTATTATTATTTGCCTTTATCTTCTACTACTTATGACGACGACGACGAGTTTGAGCTTTCAAACGTTTATTCACTTATTTATTTATACTCTGTTTCTCCGTACTATCACGTATTTACTTTCGTTCCAATGTATTTTGTGTGATTAGGTAGTGCAGTGATTTTCCATTCTCATGTTGCATTCTACCATTCAATATTTTCTTATTAAGTAATTTCTAAGTTACTAAATTAAGAAAATCTTAAATATTATTCGAGTTACTGAAACTTGGATCATATCAAAAACCCAGTTAGCATGTGCTATGCACGTGGTAGAAACTTACAACTCTTCTGTGAAATTAACTAATCAAATCAAACTAAATGTGACATGTTCTATCTTTTCCAAACACTAAAACAATTTCTACACTTGTTCAACTCTTAAGGATATTACACCTGCTCTCAATAACTTCCTATTATTTTCAGTTTTTTTATTCCTTTTTTAATTATTACTTGCAATTAGTGAAGATGCACATGTAAGCTATCAACTATACAACATTATTATTATTGCTGTTTTTATAACACAAAAAATACCGCTTTATACCTAGTGCATAACACAGTTGCTCAAATTTTTCTCTGATGTATTGATACATAAAGTAAGACTGACAGTAGTAGGCAAGACTGAAGGAGACCGATTAATCATCTTTCCAATAGGTGAAACTACAAAACATTTATATACGGCTTTGTGTGCTTTTTGGAATATGATTTAAGGTCGATGTTACTTTAGCTATAGAGATAACTTTTATGTACTAGAAGAAATGTTATGCAATATAAGGAAATTTCGATAAATAAACAAAGGCAATTGTTAAGGCATGGAAGGTTTATGTTCGTGACGTTTTGATCCACCCCATGTTAGTACCGATACCACACGGAACTTAAACCCAATACTATATGTGAGAATAAACAAATTTTCAGGACATTTTTGTCTGGTTAATTTAGTTAACTACTAATCGATTTTCTTTGTAGCACATCAGCAAGTATCTGTTGTATCGCATCGCTTGTTCAACATTTTCCAAAAGGTGTTTATTGTCACTCCCGAGATTATTGAACCATAGCTAACAGTGGAATGAGAGTAACCTGGTTATCGTCAAACATTCAAACAGTGTTTGTATCACCGTAAACAAAACGAAAACGGTATTTTAGATGTGGAACATCAAATGCTAGAGAGAATATCTGGTAATTTATGTCATGTCTAATAACGACAAAGCACTCTTGGAAATTTAAATCAGTGCTGTAATAGGAGGGATTAGCGTGGGTGTCAGTTATCGTATCCCTATTAGGGGCCTATACCAGGGACAAAAAGCAATAAACCTCAGATGAAAACAAAACGAAATTGATGTAAGTTAATTTACCATTCTATTCGATAAATAGAAATACTGCATTGCTGGTTTTGGATACGGACTGACAGATAAATGTCACTTTCATTGAGCTCTACCTGAGAGACGGCGATATGTGTGCAGATGATGTTATCAGGTTTGACTGAATTGTTCAACAAAAAAACCCCTTATAAACACTTCATAGAAGAAGATGGCGCATGACTATAGACTTATAACTTTCTTGCAATACTAAACTATAATAAAAATACATTCTTTACGCCATGGAAGTCCCACAAATATGTATAACGAAGAATGTAGATAAAAGGGACAACTCTTCATTTTGGAGGGAAAAGTGCCATAAAACGGATTTTGTTGGGATATAGAATTGTTTACAATGTATTTAATGTGGAATTTAGAATCTCATATGAAGAGTTCTTATCCCTCTGACCTGTAAATAATTATGTAAACCATCACCATTTATGTGCTTGATCGTTCAAGCAGAGAAGTTAGGAAGTGATCCTTCAGCCGAAACTGCACCTGCTCAGCGGGATGACTTCCGCGGAACGGTGATTCCATACCGCAGGAGTCGACTATTGAGAGACGGCACCTTGCTGCATCATGTTTCTTATGTTACCAAGTCGAGTATATAATGTTATATTTTCATGCACGAAACGATACAGTAAGTGGTGACTTGGGTTATTTTCACGGTAAAACATTATTTCCAAAATTTGATGTAGTTGTGTTTTTGAATGAAATGCAAGTGGCGTTGATCGATTATCAATTCAACTTCATCAGAAGAGGGATAAATTAGAAAGCTGCTTATTCGGCATCTTAGCTATTTTAAGACCAAAGGGAAGCGCGCTCCTTCATTGCATAAATGTGATTATCATGTTTACAGATTAGGATTAGAATGCTTCTCAAGAAATTATGGAGATTACATGTTTGAAACATCCATAAAGTAGAACAGAATGATTGAGAAACACGCCACGTAATGAGCACTTCCCTGTGCATTTAGCATGATAATTCCGATAATGTACAAGGTGGGTTTACATGAAGTCAAATGGAGCAATCATGGTTTCGATCCTTGTTGGGGCCAGACTGTTAAGACAACTGGTTGAGGGAGGTCGGTGACAACAGCTGTTTCAACAATCAAAAAAGAGTCTTTCCTATAGGGCTCAATAAAGGCTTGATTATTGTACATAGTCGTATAATCTGGTTCGCAATTGCATTGGCACAAATTATAATACAAATGTAAACGAGTCTTTCTCTGGTATACAGTAAATTGTTCTATATGATCATTATAGCTATAGCCTGTGCCACACCTTCTTATTATGGTGTAATCCCAACTGAGGTTTCAGTTCAAACCATTTAAATGCTAGGTAAATCCCGTGTGGCTAAGACAGGCCGAGGTTACGACGTATCGAGTTGTCACGGTTAATTACTCAATTAGTGCGGCCGGTGTTGCTCGCCCTCGGCATTTCATTTACCATTGCTTTGGATAGGAAATTCATTTTGATGGAAGTGAAGCCAGAATGAGAGAAAAATTGATTTTGACAGAGAGATATAAAGAAATGCGTGGTTGCAATGAAAAGTTTCTGGCTGACTTATTCCTCTGGAGATCATCTAAGCAATTAGTGGTCCACTATAAAGGAATCTTCATCGGATACTTTGGTTCAAGCTGTATTTCAAGTGACATGAAGGGGAGAATATTGAAGATCAATAATGTTCAGCAGTCAAAAGACGTGATTAGTTACGTTCTTCCTTATTTGTTTCTTCCAATTCAATAAATGAGCTTAGTTTGTATTATATATCATACAGACTAACAGGCTTGCAAGAAACGCAACGCAAGACATGGCAAACCTTTCTAACAGTATAAACCGGTTTATCTTTCAATAAGTAAAAAAGTCATTTGCCATTGTTAATGAATGAAATAAGGGGCTGAAAGTGTGTGTGTGTGTGTGTGTGTGTGTGTGTGAGAGAGAGAGAGAGAGAGAGAGAGAGAGAGAGTTACATGGTAACTTACATAACATTTTGAGGACAGCTGTTCTGGCTTTGGCATGTTTTTGAGCTCGTAATGTTACTCCGACCCCTTCTTCGCTGGAAGCCGAAGAATCGGAGCCCGCTCTAGATAATGTCGACCTCCGAACAGCTAAGGCTATCAGACCGTATAATATAGAAATAACGCTCATTGGTGCAACAAAAAACAAAAACGCCGATATTTCAAAAGCTTCATTGATCGGCTTGTCTATGACTATTTGACACATGGCAGATTCTGGAATGGACACATTGGTGACGGGGTCGATTTCATACTTGATTCCAAACTGAACTGTCATTGGAATCGCACAGAGTAGAGATACAATCCATATCACAACAATCACCTTGACAGCGCGGGACAAGTTGGATACCGTCTGTGCGCGCACTGGGTGGCAAATAGCCACATACCGCTCCACAGTGAACGCAGTGATTGTCAAAATGGAGGCGTATGTGGCGGCTTCCGAAGTATGGGTGCGGATAAGGCAAAACGTTTCTCCAAAAACATAAGGATATTTTTGCCAGAATTCGTAAATTTCGATTGGCAGTCCCAACACCAAAAACAAAATGTCTGACATGGCCAGATTGAAGAGATAATAGTTCGTAGCTGTGTGCATAAACTTGTTTTTAGAAATAACCACACATGTTGCAGTATTGCCCACAAGGCCGGTCACCATAATAACGCAATAAACAAAAGTCATTGGTATTACTTTGTATAGTTCTTTCCTTCTGGGTTCCCCTATCTTCTGCAGCAGATACTCATCGACAGACATTGCGCTTGTCTCTTCATCTCCTCCAGCACTTGAATTCAGAGGAATGTATCCCCAAGTGTCAGATAATTCGTAGTTCATAACGGAGGAGGGAGGCGTCAACTACAACAAAATGAGACCGTACGATTAACTGGAGAAATGTTTTATGCCTGCCTTCCTCTTGGTATTGTGACCGGAGGCATTACCGATATTTAACTCCAACATCCATTATAGCATATGCGGGTTAAGGTAATAGTTTTAAATCCGCCTACTTTTCTAATACGAATCAATTATGTATGTTTTGCCCCGCGAACGCGATCGAGTCATTTATAGTTGTTAGTATCCATGCTGTACATCCGTATTTGTGATTACACCTTTCTCTCTTGGAAAAAACTCCGAGTGATGAATATCTAAGTCCACTGATGCATTCAAGGGAAGAGACATGACTGCGTAGCAACTTATTTCCGTGTGTTACAGTCTTTTCATGACAAAAGAAGTCGACCGTCTCTCAGTGAAGATCAGCCGAATGTTTCTAAATTGTGAGAGAGCAATAACTTAACCATCCCGCCTCCCACTGAAATACGCCGCACGAGCCAATCTAGTTAGCAGAAGTGCGATCAAATGCCAGCTAGAAAATCCAATCACCGATTGTGATCACAGGTTGTGACATTCCGTGAAATGATACCCTTTCTGAGCTAGCAAGCTGTCAGTGTGTTAATACTAGAGACTCGCCCATAGAAGTGACAGCGTAGCTGAACTCCATCTGTGTGGGCAGTGGCTGGTAGTAATATAGACTCGGCGAGTATTCCGGCCCTATCTCTCTGCGAAAAGCCAGCAGGAAGTCACTGATTGCGAAGGCATCTAGTAAAAGTTCAGCTCAAATGCATTACTAGCGCTGCCGCGTCCGTCGATTGAGATGGTCAGTTTATATCCCGTTAAATATTGATAGGCTTGCAAAACAAAGCTTTGATATGTAGATCTATGCACATTGGGAATCTCAACGGTATTTCTGTTCTCGAGAACTAAATTAAGGTATCTCCTTGGGCTTCAATGCTGATTACCTCATAAGTTAGCTGGTTTTAGGGTCTGTTGCATTGTATTGCATGCTATCATGAAATTGATGCATCAGTCCGTTTTTCTGATAATTTTTTTCGCCATCTTCTCTCGTCTCATCTTTCTTTTTACCAAGCTGCAGGATTATCCAGATTGTCTGCTATACATGTCGTGCATAAGTAATAATATTTTTAGAACCTTCTTATTACACCTCACAGTAAGTCAAGATGGGACGTACAAGTATTGTCTGAAGTCAGTTATATTTAAACAAAAATAGTTATTGATAAATAGTGTTTTTTTTTTATTTTATGCAATTTTCTACTCTTATCTCATCGATTTCATTTTGATCAAGCAATGTAATAGCCGTTATCCACATAAAAAAATATTGACAAAACTGGACGTCTGTTCAGGTCTACATGAGGTTTGGGTGTCATGGGAGCTGATAAGTTTCACTTGCTAAGAATTCATTTATCCTACACATACATAAGAATAGACTGCATACCATTGCAAAATGTGTTTCTGAATTCACACAAATGCAATGGTGGTGCTGTTATTACTAATGACTGTGTTAGACATCAGGTACCATGATGATTATATCATGCTTCTGTCACATAATCACATCTGTCACAAAATAAGCATTTTCAAGAAAAGGGATTCTATTCGCTATACGAGCATTGTGCTCAGGGATCTATCTAAATGTAAACATTACGTGTTTGTCAATAACTTACCAAACGGGGCTTACTTTGAATGGAGATGCAATTACCGAAAATCACTCCCAAAAGCCTGATATTCTGAATTCTTTTTCTGTTGTATATCGATTGTTTCTTTCATAAAACCTACCCGCGGAAACGCTTGGAAGCTAAAGAAAGGAGACCATGTGTAACAACTTAAGTTAGGTAATGGTTGTCTACCACATTCATTTAAACCACTGTCTACCATATATATGTACCAAAATTGTAATGTACCCACTATTTCAATAATATCTAGTCACTCCCGGAACATACTGGAACATAATCCCCAATAGGAAAAAATGATGCAGCTCCTGTGTCGTAACGATAATAAAAAGCAGAGATCACACATGGTAATCGAAAATGGTAACAATTTGCAATGAACAGAGATTATTGGAGATCCACTGTAATGGGTTGTTGGTAGAACTCAGAAGAAGTTAGAGAACGCCCGCCATTTAATATGAAAAAGTTTAAACCATGCCTACTGTTATAAAAAATTAGCAATTCTAAGGCAACGTCTTCATTCTACATTAACTAGTTGCTTTTACTGAGTTCAGTTTTAAAACCCAAAACAAAAATGGCAGAACTCGTGTGTACTGGCCATGACAGGCAAGTCCAGATAGACGCGACCTTAAGTGAGCACAAGTGTGATAGTGGCAGTGTACTGGTAATGGGTGGGTTTTTATTACACCAAAACACACCATTTACATTATTAATGCCAATCTCGCCGGATTTTACTGCTAAAATGAAATCGTGATACAACCGGTAATGCTATTTTTCCGTAAACAGACCATGGAACATTTTAAAATATGACAAGACATGTCCTCACTGTGCAACATTTGTCAAAGATTTCTATCAGCCAAAGGCCGTCTGCAGAAAGCGCTGGTCTGCCTATTCGCCCGATATGTGCCCTGACTGAAACACTTAGCGCTACGATTTCAGCGCAATCACCCCTACCAATGGTTCTTAATAAGCTCGCTAAATGTCTCATCCAAGAAGGAATTTCATTCCACGGCAGTGTCGTTAGACATTAATTATTCGATGGAGAGGCGATGTGAAGCACGTGTGGTTTCCACAGGCGGACACACATGATACTGAAAAGACTCACAGAGCTGTGATTTTAATTTCTGATCTCTTTCCACTTTTTACTCATTTGCATAATGATACTGAAATCAATCCAAACACAATGCACCATTCAATGAAGTGACGGTTGATAAATATTATTCTTGAGTTTTATGTAATTTAACAGAAAGAGTTCTATTTTAATGTCTCCTTTAATGTCTGCTTTTTGCAAGTGTTCCCTTAATTCTGTGAGCAGTATATAATGCACTGACGCTGTTAGGTAATGTCTTGTAATATGCCCCATTTAATAAATTGAATGCAACACCTTATTGAGACGTATACTGCATCGCATTCTGTATTGTGTTCTAGTATACTGGGGTAGTATTGAAGTTATCGTGTTGCTGTCACTAAGACATGCAACGTGTTATTTATATACTGTATATACAGACTTGACATTTCATGTGAAATATTTTTTCCAAACCATTTTCTTCGATTTTTTCCTATTTTTCTGACTGATTATTAAAAACAAGGATTCAAATCGTGTTTAAAAAACTTTTAATATCTTGCAGTGTCACTGTGACATCAGTTCTTCAATTGAATTTCCCTAATTCAGCAAACAGAAATACGTGGCTGATTTCAAATCAAACAACATCCATTGAAGGTATGATTTGGATCTCTCTCTCTCTCTCTCTCTCTCTCTCTCTATATATATATATATATATAGTCACAGCAACGGTCACTGGTGCGCCTGATCCTATCTTTCAGCTATCAGGACTCAAGCGGGAAGACATTCCTTTTGACAAGTTTTTTAAAGTTTGATCTGGAATAAAAGAAGAGCTTGTCCATTTTTTCAGGTTTGGTGTAGGGCCAGTAGGCCGTTGGTTAGGCAGGAAATTACTACCTACAGATTGTCTTTAGGGTTCAAATCTGGCGATCATGATGGCAGCGGTAGGTGTTCATTCCTTTAGTTCTCCAAGCAATTTGCGAATACAAAGACTCTGTGTGGACGGGCATTTTCATATTGAAAAATAAAATTGTTCCGGAGGTGCCATCCAAAGAATGCAGGCAAGTGGATCCAGAATATTCCTGTATTTGACGTGGTTCAAGTTTCCATCGATGAAAACAATTGGTGTTTTGGCACCAATGTAAATCCCACCCGAAATACCGCTGTTGTCACTCAAGGAGCGACACGCTTTTTCATACTCCTCATTAGGATGACCATGAACTCAAGTTTGACCACCTTGGCGGCACTGATGGAATCTGACCTTACAAAAGTCACTCAATTCCAATCTTGTACCCACAACTGTGATGGTTCCCAACACATTTAAGAAATAGACGACGGCGTTGTGCTGTTAATAGTAGATTTCTCAGAAGTTGTCTGGTAAAATAACCTTCCAAAACTTGTCTGGCGCTCGCAAAGTGCCTGAATAGAGCTGGTTACCTTTGTTTAGTTGTAGCAGCAAAACCGTAACAACTACGGGTTTCGTTACCTGGTGGTAGGTTGTTGATGTCCTAGGTGTGGCCTCTGCGTAGGTACACCAGTCTGGGCATACTTGTGTAGGACTGTGCCTGTCGTTTCTTGTGACATAATAATCAGTCTGGCAATGTCTGTCAGTTTCGCGCAATTCTTGCTCTTTGTTCAGTTCACGCACCGTTAAATTAGCTACTTGTATGCAAAATTTCAAAAACATCTGTGCAGAGAGAGAGAGAGAGAGAGAGAGGAATGTCCTATACTCATAATCTAACCGAACTATGGCAGTATTCATCAACACGTGCTGTAGATGGGAATAACAAGGTAATGTCATAAAGGCGCCGCCTCATTTGCCCCTTCTTTGCAAAATGAAGGTCACACGCTTTTCCATCCTAATAACACCCGAACATCATATTTTTCACATTCTGTGACTCTAAATAAAGGTTTACCCAGTTCATTATAGCGGCCAAGTTTACTTTCAGAGATATACACGTTATTTCACTTTATTCTGTTGGATGACGTCAGTCACGACCGTTTTCCTTTGTGATTCACGGCAGCGTGTTTAAGGTTTCCTCTCTAACAATTAGGCAAAAGGCATGAGAGCAGTTGGGAGAAGCAATAATCAAATTGGGCTGAAATTACTCGGCTTTGAATTAGTGCAGGGGATCAGACCACTTCATAACAATACACAGATCTTTGGCAAATTACCTGTTCGACATGCAATACACTCGACAGGCAGATCAAAGGCAGCACTAACTATCCATAAAAACAACTAAACCAAATACAAC